TTTTTTTTTCTTTTTCTGCATATAGTCATTCCCAAAATGTGGGTGCCAGAAGGTGTTACCTGAAAATAGCTTCATAGACAAGCAAGTCTGGGAAACTGTTGAATCATTTTTATCCTACAGAATTTCTCCACTGTTTAAAATGATGAGGCATTTGTTAGTTACCAGCTATTGCATAACAAACCACCCCTGAAGCCAGCAGCTTAGAACACAGGTAAAAAACTGTCTCCTGCTTTCCTTGGGTCAGGACTCAGGGGAGCCAGGTAAGGTGCCTGCTCGGATCTCAGACGCTGCAGTCACCTGAAGACTTGGCAAGGCACTGGAGAATCAGCACCCAAGTTACCAGGGTGTGGTGCCTGGGTTTCCTATGGTTGCCACTGGGTGTCCTCAGAGTAAGTGATCCAGGAAGAGGGGGAGCCACAATATCTCATACCCATGTCTCAAAAACCAGACAGCATCAAATCCGCACAGTGACGTAAGTCACATATGCGATACCTAGGTGGGAGGTGTGTGAACTGAGTCTGGGCAACGCTGGAGGTCACCTCAGAGGGGAGCTAGTGCAATTCACTGGCAATGTGCTCGTTCAAAAGCACAATTGATGAATAAAACATTCCAAGATACTGGAATTTCATGGTGTATGCTTTGGAAAACTACCAGGATGGTCGGATGGAGGGTGAAGGTCTCAGAGGCTCCTGAGCAGAGGCAACAGGTGTGCCTATCTAGAAGAGCCTAGAAATGGAGACAGACTTGCAGTGACTTCCAGAGTGGGTGAAGAAGCTAGACCTATGTCCTGTGGGAATTGAGACTCAAACCCTTAGTTCTAGGAAGGCAAGCACATGACCTGTGGGACAGTACCTGATCTCTTGATCCTTGTTTACTTCCTCAGTGCTTCATCAGAGACAGGGAGGGAAAGGCAAAGTTTACAGGCAGAAACAAAGAGCTTGGAGATGAGAAAATCTAGATGCTTGGGCCGGTCCAAGCCCTCAAGAACTCTGTCCAGCGGCATCGCGAGTGCAGATCTCAATCTTTGTGAGTAGCAATAAAACTAAGATCACCTGATGGCTCAGCTCACGAAGGCCTTGTTTTTTTCCCTTGTGCTTCATTTGCACAAGAGCTCCTGTTTGAGAAGTCCTGGCCTGGAGCTGGAGCCAGAGCCACACTGCTTGAAGGAAATGAGTTTTCATCAAATGTTTACAGTGACTGTATCCGCAGATGCAGAAGAGGAAAAGAGAACGAAAGCACGGAAGGCTAGAGGGAATGGAGAGGTGGTCGTGGGAAAGGCAAGAAGCGAGACAAGAAGGGTTAATTAAAGGTGAGCAGCTCACCTGAAAACTCAAGGATTTATCCTTCCTCACCAAAATGTCCCCACCCAATCCTGCCCCAGCCAAAGTCTAACCGACCCCAACACTTTCGCCGCCCCTGGCCACAAGGTGGCACTCTTTAGACTTTCTTCCCCCCAAAAAAACTAAGGAGGGGAGAGGGGAGGGAGCAAAGACACCGCACTGCCCCAACCAAGAACAATTTGAAAACCCACCCCATCATACTCAAAATCTAGGACAAAGAGCCGTCGGGACGGAACCGCCTTGACTGCAAATCTTCAAGCACAGCCTGGGAGCGGCCTAGAGGCCCGAGCCCAGGAGCTCCACAGAGCAGAGCGCCCTGGGGTCCCTGAAACCCGAAACCCCGGCGCAGAATCAGCGGAAACCAGAGCGAAATCCTTGAACTTCTTTGGACAATTGCTTCCGGGCGTTTTCAGGGAGCCTGGGGACCCGAACGGAGCCCAGGCCGCCTATGGCGCGTCCCTGATGTCCCACGGACACAAGAGAGGCCAGCGGACGGGCTGCAGCATGGACCGCGCCGGGTGCCTGGGCGCGGGCCTGCGGGGACTCTGCGTGGCTGCGCTCGTGCTGGTGTGCGCCGGACACGGGGGCCGCCGCGAGGACGGCGGACCAGCTTGCTACGGGGGCTTCGATCTTTATTTCATCCTGGACAAGTAAGTGCCTAGAGGATGCTGCTTTGGGGCGGGCGGTCCCCCAGGGCAAGACACAGCTGGGCTCCGGTCCCCAGCTGAGGGGCATCTAGGCTGCTTAGTCTGTTTTTCTTGATGCTTGCGAGTCCCGGGAGGATGCAGTTGGCTCTAGCTGTCTGATTATTTCCCACCTTGAGGAGAAGGGATTACAACAAGAGGTAGAACTTTCAGACACTTCCAAAGTTAGAGGCGAGGGCACTCTTAAAAGCCAGCCTTTTCCTTTTACAAATGTCCGGCCACAAAATGCAGTCTTTGTTCTCATGGCATGATGCCTGATGACCCTGGGCACTCAGTGGAAGTCCAAGCCATGGAGTCTCTACCTCTGGGGCTCCAGCTGGTCCTTTGTGCGGACTTCGCAGCCCCCCCCCAACCCCCATAGGGTGCTGAGCACCAGTCCTGCTCCCTACCCTATAGACAGATGCCAAATTCACTGCCACTCTTCCGTCTAAGTGTTAGCAACCAAAAATGATTTCAGATACTGGCAAATGCCCCCAGAGCCCTTTGCCTTCAGAACTGAGCTGTAGGTAAGTTTGCGCTGTTGGCTTTTGACTGATGGGCTGCCAGGGAAGCCAGCGTGATTGGCCTCCTTACTAAAATGGACTTAAGGCCAGTTCGATACTTTCCAGAACCCCACAGGGTTGCCAAGTTGCAGTCACTCAAGTACGGTTCACACGCTCTGCTGAGAAGCAGCTACAACATAAAAAGTCCCTCAAGATCCAGGCTCCTTAGCTCCGTGCCAGTGCCAGGAGAGGCAGGCGTTTGCAGTTACAGTGGTGGGGAGATGAATTTCACAGACTGGAAAGTATTTGGGAGTTGGAACAAGAGTCCTGAAAAATAAGCTGGCTGCTGGACACCAAATGTGCTTCGCAGTTGCTGCTGGGGTTGGGTTTTTCCGCAGAAAAACTGTGCTGAGCTCCAGGTTCTTTTGGATAAAAAGTGAGCACTCTCTCTTGCAGATTTACAAGGAGTTGGATACTAGAATTCAGGCCTGGGCTAAGAAAAGAACTCGTTTGTTACTTTAGCAGGTGGGAGCTGGCGCTTCTGAGTCAGGGAGACTCTGGTACCAAAGGGGGTCCCCACTGTGCCCTTGGGAGGGGACTTTGGGGCCGGTGCTGCCCCTCAGTTAGCAGGATGCTTGCCTAGAGTGCCTAAGCGCTGGGTTTGTTCCCCTGTACCATAGACCTACTGTGGAGGTGGTTCATGCCTGGAAGCCCTGCAGTTGGGAGGTGGAGGTGAAAGGAGCAGGAGTTCAAGGTAATCGTGGGCTCCCGAGCTACATAGTGAGTTTAAAGCAAATTTGGATTACCAATTAAGACTGCCTCAAAAGACAAGCAAACAAACAATAACAACAAAAGCCACAGCCCAACCAGTTCCAAGAGGCCCATGGGGAAACGTGAACAAGCAAAATCACCATATCCCCATAGGACGGCCCAGGTGCTATGAACATAACCAGGTGTCCCACATCTATACCAAATCTATAATTTGAACTGAACTTTTGGTCCAATTTGTAAATGAAATTTCTTCAGGTGATGGAAGGGATTCAAAAGAATCATCTCAGTATTATTTCTGAGAGGAGAACAACTAGGTCAAAAGGCATAAGTTTTTTTTCTTTTGGAAAAGAATAGTAAAGACATAATTTCTCTGCAAATACTGAAATGCACTAGAAGGCAAACTATTGAAAACAGTTTGGTAAGTTCAAAGAGTATGTGGACAAAGCAGAAAAAATACATAAGTACCTGTGAGCACTTAAATAAGTGGGTAATGAAGTCATTATTATTATTATTATTATTATTATTATTATTATTATTATTATTTTAATGTTCTTTGGCAAATGGTGAGGGATATCTGTGTAGCCTCAGGCTTGTGTCTACAGAGAATGACAGGAACACAAAAGCCAGGAAGAAGAACAGAGGGCGATTTGGCTAGCTGAGCACTGTGTTCTTGGGGGGGGGGGGACACTAGCATAAGGGAAATGCAGTAAGCTGCAAAGGTTCTGCAACCTAATTTACTCTCTGAAGACTGATCTTGGTATGGAAAAGCTAGTCAGAAAATAGCCTAACATCTTAATTTCCAAAGAAAAATATGTGAAAGTTAATGCATGAACAATAGCATTCCAAATCGCTAATAATTAAAGAAATGAAAAGGCTCAAACAGGATAGTGTGCATTAGGCTGGCAGAGTTTTTTAAGGCATTACAGTGTCCAGCGCTGGCCACTTGTGTCCTGTCTTGCTAGGGACAGTCTGGACTGGTGGTCTTGTGGACTTGAACTGCATGGTAGAATTTTTTTTTTTTAGAAAGGCAGAAGAGCTGAGTTCCTGCTGCCCAGGACAGTAGCTACTTGCCATA